CCTGTGCCTCCGCCCTGCGGGCTTTGCGTAAGCAGGTATGGTAGTGCGCTTTAAGGGTTAAACCCCTATCTAGCCATATTCCTAGCCACCGTGTGGCCTCAGAGTTAAAGGCAACTCTGTATCCTTCTATCTGGATCTTTGCTTGCTGTATCTGATCTTTAAGCAATCTGCCCCTTTTCCTGGTAAAAAGAACTGCCTCGGTCTTTTCAGTATCAAACTGAACTGCTTGTTTTCTGCCTTGCTCTATAGCAATCTTAGCTGCCTGTTCTAGGTCCTGACAGGCTCTTTGTACCGAGCTAGCTGATATTAATAGGGCTATATCATCTGCAAATGATATGGCTCTAATACCAGGAACTGAAGCCCTATGTTTAGCATGGCCACAACCAGATCGACTATACCGAGCTTATCCCTGCCTCTTGCCTTGACTTTCTCTCTTCCTTCAACTGACTTCGTAATTCTGTAATATTATCCTATATAGCTAGCGGTAATGTTATTTCTAAGAGCAAGGAAAGATGACCCGCTGGTGGGGCTGAGAAACCATAATTGGTCTAATATAGAAAGATGGAGCGCTGACTTGTTTGACACTATAACCAGGCATTCTTAACACTACTACTCAAAATTTGAAGGTTAGCTAAGAGGGTGACGACATGCTACACTAGTTGAAACAACATAGAATCTTCACTAGGGCACCGCCATAGAGCACAACCAGGACTGGTCGTAAAGAGCTATTCTCCTACGGAAGGGAGCAGAACCAAAGAACACCAAGATAAGGTGGCGATTCTGAGTGGTTTAGATCGCGTTCTTAAGGTACCTCCATTCTACTAAACCTCTCGTTCTTTCACAATCTCTCTTGTTTAATTAACACAAAATGGCTCCATAAATCACCTTTGGCGCTCATAAGTTGAAGCTACTTTTACTACCAAGACCAATGATGTATACGCACATTCTTCATCCTGATCATCGCTGGATGTTTAGTTCACTTCTAGCGCATCTCGTGGAGTTTGCTTTTATCGCAGTCTCAGGGGTCAAACTTTAGTCTAAGTAGTCTTACGTAGAAGGTGTTCCCCGCGTCGATCAGCGATATGTTTTTACCGCTGCCGAGGGATAAAGCAAATAACGGGCACAGAGCCCCGAAGCTTACCGGTGTCCGTCCGATCATCATCTGTTTATACCCCACAGACAGGATGACCGCGAGAAGCTTAAGCTGCGCCTTCACATGGGTTCACTTTAATTAAGCTCATCCGAGGCTTCTTTAACTTGATTCCTCCGCATTTTCCTTCCCGTGTTTGTGATGATCATGACGCTAAACCATACAAACCCAGCGCTATCCTCAGAACCATGACTATCTTAATCTGCGCTAGACTAGCTTGGCTCTTGAATGCCAAGTTGGCCAGGACTAAACGGATCCATAAGACTTAACTGGACCCAGCGATACATCTCTGCCAATAAGGATGGCTCCCCGTGCAGATCGAACCCTGGAGCCAACATACTCACACGCCTTTCCCCTCGATCATAGCCCACACTAATGCTCCTTCAGGAGAACAATGCGATTGTAAACATGCTAAATCTGAGAGCTCGTAGACTACTACTTGAATGAGTTTGGGCCTTTCGCGAGCGGGGAATGGCGCCATCTAGACGGGTATATGAGAGGATAGAGTCCGGCTATGGTATTCCTTTTTTTCACCTCAGTTCTCCGTGTTTAGGGCTGGCGAACCCGAGTAACGAAACCGACATGAAGAGTTCATTTATCCTGTTTAACATACTAGTAGCGGGCGTGTTGGCAATTCCAACGCGTACTGACTACGTCCTCCACGAACGTCGCGATGCTATACCAAGCCACTGGACTGGAGAGAAGCGTCTGAACGGCCAGACCGTGCTGCCCATGCGAATTGGTCTGACTCAGTCCAATTTGGACCGTGGTCATGACCTTCTCATGGAAGTGTATGCTTCCATGCCCTCTGTACCCTCTTCTCGTGCTAACGATCTAGGTCCACTCCCGGCTCCTATCGGTACGGCGACCACCTGACGGTTGACGATGTCCATGATCTATTTGCTCCCTCTCAAGAAAGCATAGATAGCGTCCGCTCGTGGCTGGAATCTGCGGGCATTGCCCCCGATCGTATCTCCCAGTCGACGAACAAGCAATGGCTACAGTTCGATGCAGGCGCCGATGAGGTCGAACAGCTTTTAAAGACAGAGTTTTACCGTTACTCGCACGCTGGTACTGGTCGGTCCCATGTAGCTTGTCGCGAGTAAGTAACCTGTGGGAAATGTGAAATACTGTCTCTGATTAAGTAACAGATACCACGTCCCAGAAAGTGTGCAATCGCACATCGACTATATCACACCAGGCATTAAGCATCTGGAGATTCGAGAGGAGCGACCGATTGAGAAGCGTAGCCTTGACAAGCGGTCATTCGGTATTCTACCACCAATCCTCCGACCATTGACCATGCCTTTGGAGGAGCTACTAGGCCAGTTGCTGGCGTTGTGCGATGTAGCTGTAACACCCGCTTGCATTCAGGGTAAGTCCATATCCACCACAACCTTGGGGACAACACATGCTGACTGACTAGCTATGTACAACGTAACCGACGGTGACAAGGCGACAAAGGGCAACGAGCTCGGTATCTTTGAGGATCTTGGTGATGTCTATAGCCAGGATGACCTGGACCTCTTCTTCTCAACTGTAGCCCAGTATGCTTCCCCCCACCTCCTATGTCCCCTTTACCCTCCACCTACTCTAACGCCCCTCCCAGTAAGATCCCCACAGGCACACACCCAATCCTCAACGCCATAGACGGAGCCCAAGCTCCAGCAGACACCACAAACGCAGGCACAGAATCCGACCTCGACTTCGAGATCTCCTACCCACTCATCTGGCCGCAGAACAGCATCCTCTTCCAAACCGACGACCCCATCTACCAAAACAACTACACCTACAACGGCTTCCTGAACAACTTCCTCGACGCCATCGACGGCTCCTACTGCAGCGAGACCTCCCCCCTAGACCCACCCTACCCCAACCCAGCCGACGGCGGGTACAAATCCCCCCGCCAATGCGGCGTCTACAAGCCCACAAACGTAATCTCGATCTCCTACGGCGGCGCAGAAGCCGACCTCCCGATCGCCTACCAGCGCCGCCAATGCCAAGAGTTCATGAAACTGGGCCTACAGGGCGTCTCCATCGTCGTGGCCTCCGGCGACTCGGGCGTCCAGGGTCGCGGTGGCTCCCCAACGCCCAGCGGCTGCCTGGGTAAAGATAATAAAGTCTTCGCCCCGGATTTCCCTGCAACTTGTCCCTACCTCACCACCGCAGGAGGCACATATCTCCCCCCTGGGGCCGACGTACACGCCCACGAAGAACAAGCAACAACAAGCTTCCCCTCCGGTGGCGGGTTCAGTAATATTTACAAAAGACCAGACTACCAGAACGCCGCCGTCGAGGAGTACTTCAACACCGCCCAGCTCTCGTACCCGTACTACGAAAGCGTCGATAATAGCAGTTTTGCCGCCAACGGTGGAATCTACAACCGGATCGGGAGGGCTTATCCCGACGTTGCTGCTATCGCGGATAATGTACTGGTGTTTAATAAAGGGTTGCCGACGTTGGTTGGGGGGACGTCTGCCGCGGCGCCGGTTTTTGCGGCGCTGTTGACGAGGATTAATGAGGAGAGACTTGCCGCTGGGAAGAAGACGGTGGGGTTTGTCAATCCCGTGTTGTATGCTAATCCCCAGGTGTTTTTTGATGTCACGAAGGGGAGTAATCAGGGCTGTGGCACGGATGGATTTCCCGCTGCTAAGGGGTGGGATCCCGTTACTGGGCTGGGGACGCCGAATTATCCGAAGTTGTTGGAGTTGTTTATGGGGTTGGATTGAAGTTCTTGAGATGAAGTAAACACTCTATTGTGATTTGTGTTGACTAGATTCCAGAGAGAATTTGAAGTTAAATGTCGAATGTAGTTTATTGTTTATTAAGTTGATTCTACTCCAGAAAATTGGTATGATTGTATACATTTTAGCTTTTATTCATATATATACTATGTATATGCACCAATATACCCTCCATTTGGATATACAAACAAAACATCAATCATTAAACGTGACCAGCACATCATCGAGACACTTAAAGGATGACCTTGTGGTCAGCAGGAGCCTCCTCAGGCTCACCGAAGACGTTAATATTCCAGCGAGGCTTGTTGGCAACGTAGGGGACGTTGTAACGGCGCTCGGTGCCAAGGGCAGTGACCTTGGCGATCTCCTCGTCGGTGAGCTCGATCTCCTGGAAGTTGGCAGCGATACGAGCGGGAGTGACAGACTTGGGGATGACACTGTGGCCACCGACCTGGGACCAGGCGAGGATGACCTGGGCGGGGGAGACCTCCTTGCCAAGACGCTTGCCAGCCTCCTCGGCGACGGCCTTGATCTCGGGGCGGGTGATGAGGAGGGGCTCGCCGATCATGTTGTTACCGAAGGCGGAGTAGGCGGTGACATGGATGCCCTTCTCCTTGCAGTACTGGATCAGCTTGGGGCTCTGGAGGACGGGGTGACGCTCGATCTGGTTGGCAGCGGGGACAACGCCGGTAGCGTTGATGATGGCCTCGAGCTAGAACAGGGAGTATCAGTATTGATGTTTATGCAAGTTGGGGTAGTTAATGTAAGGATGTTGTCAGTAACTTACGTGCTCAACCATGTGGTTGGAGACACCGATGGCGCGGGCCTTCTTCTTGTCGAGCTTGATCATGGCCTTCCAGGTGTCAACGATGGAGATGCTGTCGTCGATGACGCAGTCGCCACCAGGGACAGTGCTGCCCTCAACGAGAGGGAAGTACTCGTTGCCGGTCTTGAAGGCAACGGGCCAGTGGACGAGGTAGAGCTATTTTTCCGTCTGTTAGTTCTCATGAATCCTAGATAGGAAAGTTTAACCCCAGAACATACATCAAGGTAGTCGAGGCCACACTCGGCCAGGCAGTCATCGAGAGCCTTCTCAACAACATCGGGGTGGTGCTGGCTGTTCCAGAGCTTGGAGGTGATGAAGACATCCTCACGCTTGATGTTGAACTCCTCGAAGGCGCGCTTGATACCGACGGCGATTTCCTTCTGGTTCTGGTAGATCGTAGCCAGATCCAGGTGACGGTAACCGGCCTTCAGGGCCTGGTAGACGGCCTCACCGACCTCACCAGGGGCAGACTGCCAGGTACCGAATCCCAGGGTACTATGAAAATAGATGGTCAGTGTTGACGTTCCTTCATCGATTGGCTTTCCGTGTAAACATACGGGATTTGGGCGCCGGAGTTGAGGGTAACCTTCTTGCCGAGAGACATGATGACGGTTAGAGGTAAGAATAGGAAGAAGTGATATAAGAGTTCAGAGAAGAATGAAAAGATGAATGAAGACAAGAAGGAAGAAAGAGAGGGAGAGAACAACAATAAGTAAGTTTCTCAACTCCGGTGGGGGAAAGCCATCGGAAAATTGCTGGATTGAAATTATCCGCTATTATCCTCACGCTTTACCCCGCCAGTCCCCATGACCACTAAACCCTTTTGGGGATACCCCTCGGTGGGGTTTTTTGACAAGAAGTACCTTTCGGGTAATTCGAGCCACCACTTGACAGTTTGTTCCCTTTTCTTTTTCTTTTTCCTTCCCTGGTTATACAATAAAAGAAATATGGATCGTGATGGGTACCTTGCGACAAACTTCGATACACTTCCACGTGTCCCTACAATTCATGCGATGTGCACTGTTATATTATGTCTATGGACGGTAGGTAAACAACAATCAATATCAACTGATGCAAAATTAAATTGTCAGCGGAGTCATGCATGACGTCAAGCGGCAGACACTCCTCCGGCACAACTCAATTCTTTAGCAAATTAATTTCCCCTTTTTGTTCAAAGATTCTGAACGCTTCCATCCGTTCGGTCCTTTTCTCCGGTCGGGAACCCGAAAGAGTAACTGGGGTTCGCTTCCCCGATCTCCGGACTTACTCTGACCCCTCAATTTAATAAAGTACGGAGTATGCCGAGTATCAAAGATGCCGCGTCACGGGAGTTACAAGCATCTGCACCCCCACACCCTTCGATTGGCCTGCACTCCACACTATCCTTTGGTCAGTTTTGGACAATACGATTGGCTGACCTGAGTGCTTCCAATTACCAATATTGATTATAAAACCATGGTCTAGCACCTGCTACTACTGCTAGTAGTACGAGACCGAAAGTAGCGTGTCAACATATTGGGTGTATGGACTCTTTCCTGATGCAGGCGATTCCCCAATTGATATCTTTACCTTCTTCCCTAACGTACTTCTACTGCGGGTGTGCTAATCACTCATTCATATTTAAGCAAAGCGACCTAATTCCTCACCAGGACCATATCTCTGTTGACTCATGAGCCATCTGAGGACAAGACATCTTTCAGTGTCTAACCAGGCGGGAACCAAGCCTCTCATATGCGGGCTGCAGGGAAGCCTGGGAAATACGTTATGCTCGCACTTACGCTTTCACGGGCACTCTCTATCGAACAACATCTCACCGTAGAGCTTGAAGTAACAAAGGACATCCCTAACTTTTAAAGGTAGCATCCTATAGAGTAGTCTAACTATCTCAAGAAGATCGTTATATACGGCTATATATAGTGGTGTTCATCTATTCCTGGAAAGACAGTAGCTTGATTTGTAGTAGATATTTTCAAGCCTGGAGTTGATCGGGTTCCCCGCTACAGACGAAGGGGAGTAAACGCAAGACGTCGAGCCAAGGCGAGTTGATGAAAATGTGCCATATAGCTACTAAGGACGAGTGGAGAGAATGGCTGCAGTTGGATCTATTCTGCCCTTTCTAGGTGGAATCTTGGAACTTGTACCTGAACTTGGACCATTCATCGGTACTGAATGACTGGAATCCGGTAAAGGTTTTAGGCAAGGTCATGATGGATTTTTGGCTGGCTGCGAGTGGTTGAAACTTTTGAAAAAAGGGTGTTGGATTAGAAGGTTGAATACGACAAGAGACGCTGCAAATTTCTGGAAGCAACAGATATAGTAAGAGTTTCCATAAAGCGCGGCTTAGAAAGTTTCATATGTAATTATAATTTATAACTTTCAACTCTGGCCACACGACAATCAACTTCTCCACTGCCCCAAGAATGGCGAACACGTCCACCGGGATAGATTTCCTGCATTGGCCAGTTCTGTATTGCTACTACTAGAGAAGCTTCACCTGTCGGAAATACAAACTCACAAATTCTTCCTACAAATTGCAATATGCGTCATCAAATACCATAGATTATTCCCTATTTTCTGCCTTTCAGTATCTTCAGAACTGTAATGCTATCCAGCCAAGGAAGGTTATATTCCAATCTAGTTAACATAGGCGCATTATGCCAACTGCTCGTTTCATGTATTGAAATTCACTACACAGCGCCCTTTAACCTTTCCTTGTCTGAGCCGGCCCACTGCATCAGGTAATTGCTCTATGCTGAACATTTCATAGACAGGCTTGAGAAGCCCCCGTGCTGCCAGTGACAAAGCTCCAAGTGTATCCTGACGTGACCCAGTCAGAGAGCCAACGATCTTCAAGTTCTTGAGAATGATATACATTGGGTCCTCCCCTGCGAAAGCACTGCCAGACGCAGGCATACCCACACATACGACGACCCCTCCCACACGTAGCAACTGGGGTGCTACTCGGTATGCTGCAGCAGATGATGCGGTCACCAGTACACCATGTGCACCTTGACCGTCAGCTACTTGGATTACTTCCCTGACCAGATCGTTGGATTTGCAATGGTCGACAAAACCTTCACAGCCAAGTCTAAAACACAACTGCTCTTTGTCCTCGCCTGTATCGACTCCAATGACCCTCAAGCCCATTGCCTTCGCAATTTGGACACCCATATGGCCAACTCCACCTCCTGCTCCGATTATGACTACCCATTGGCCCGCGTGCAGTTTCGACTCTCGAAGCTAATGGAGCGCTAAATTAGTCCCTTCATTTTGCGTCAAGAATCAAAGAAGCAGATGCGGAGGACAGTTACATACTGCTCTGAACATAGTTGACCCACTACACATGATGGGTCCGGCAGAGAAATCGTCAACACCGTTCGGAATGCGTGTTGTATATCGTGCTGGGCTCACAATGTACTGCTGATACGTGCCTAACGAGATCCATTAGAATGAGATGAAGATAAACAAAAGAGAACAAGCTGCGTGTTATATGTAGTAGCTCTTACCTGAAACTTTCAGTCCAGTTGGCACTGCACCAGGACAGTGACATTCCATATCAGAAGAGCATAACTCGCAGCTCATACAGGTATCCCATGTCGGTGCGATTCCTGCTCGATCACCTGGTTTCCATCCCTTCACATCATGCCCAACAGCGACTACGACCCCTGCTCCCTCGTGTCCTGGAGAATGAACACCATACTCACCCATTCGCGGAAGCGGAAGGTCTTCCAACATGTAATGAATATCACTGTAGCAGAGGCCCGTCGCATTCAATTTAATCAGAAGTTGATCCGGGCCTGGAAGGGTTAACAGACAACAAGTTCCCTTACTATATCATTCAATGGCGTACTAACCTGGTTTCGGGACCGCGACATCTTTAACAGCTAAATGGTAATTAGGGCCATTATTGGAAACTACCCCGGCTTTGCATCGCTGAGGCAAAGGGGCGTGAGGATTCATGTTCTCAAATTGTATGTTGGATGATAAATGAACAATAAAGTTGTTCGAGGAGGTCGCTATGTATTGAGTCTTAAATTACCACAGTGCAGGGGCGAGGGTGAGGGAAACGGCCTAATAATAAGAGGTGATCAACAGGTAAGCGCATAGAAGGTTTGCCAAAATAGGAAATCAGCCCCGGTGGGAACCTTTCCCTTGTAGAAACACTCTAGCGAAATATTTGGCTGATCGAAATGCCAACAACAGGTTATTCAACTGCACTATAATTTGTACCTAGCAGTACCTACTCCAACACACAGAGGTTCTTGTCCAAATTATCCTCGAGTGCCCAACTCTCATGGGTATGTGATTTTCTGTGCATGGATTACCCACACCATACCGTTATTATTCAAGCGCACGCAATTACCAAAAGATCAAAAGCTGTTTATTTCACATCCTACACACAATCTTCTCCATTTATATACTTATGAAATAACCCCGATATTACCTTGGCACTGTCCTTCGGATAACGCTTCATCCCATCTTTATAATCCACATAAGTGACGCCAAAACGGACGCGGTAGCCATCGTTCCACTCGAAATTATCCATGAGGCTCCACGCCATGTATCCTAGAAGATTAACACCATCCTCGGTGCGAGCCTTTACCGCTTCGGAGATATGCTCTCGATAAAAATCACATCGGAATGTATCATGTAAGATCTCTTCGATTGATTGATCGTCCTCGCCTTTGCAGCTAGTCCCGTTTTCAAGGACATATATATCCGGATTCGAATAAGTGCGTGAGATCCAGTTTAATACTTTTCTGAGGCCCTGTGGATTAGCTCGAAGCCATGATGAGTCCGTTTCGGGACCAATGCACCGCCCTTGTGAATTGTATTGGTGCGACTCTGTGTTGCCAAGGAAGTCTCCGCGATGTGGTTGCGATTCCTTATGCTTTATGAAACTCGACGTGTAATAATCGAGGGCAAAGAAGTCATTACTACCATGAACTAAGGCAATATCGTGCTTACTCCAGGACGGTAGCCTGTCTCCAAGCTGCTGGACCATCTTCTCAGGGTAACGACCACGATATATGGGTTCTGCGAACCATCCTACGGTGAAATCGAGGTAGGTCTTGCAGGCATCGAGATCCCGAGGGTCAGAGTCATCCCATGGCGACGCCCATTGTGCTGCACTAGGGTTAGCAATTGTCCCTCAACGATCAAAAATGAACCTTACCATTTAATGTTATACCAATTTTTCCTGGGCAGGATGAGTGAAGCTCACGAAAGATCTTCACAGCAGACCCGTGCGCAACGAGCAGGCTGTGTCCAACAATCCATGAAGATCTATCACAGCGAATTCCAGGTGCGTAGATGCCTGTCTGATACCCAGTGACCGCTATATTATGCGGCTCGGTAAAGGTTGTCCAATGGCTGACTCGAGAGCCTAGGGCCTTGAATACTACCTCAGCATAGTGAGAGAAATCAGCCACGAATTCGTCTTTATTTAATGGGCCACCATAACGATCATGAAGCGCCTGGGGCAGATCCCATTGAAACAAGGTCACCAAGGGCAGAATTCCCGCGGCGAGGAGATCATCAACGAAATGAACATAATGGTCCAGCCCTTGTTGATTTATGGGATCGTTCCGGCCACCGAGCGGAATTATTCTTGACCTGAAGGCATCGATCAACTAACTCTCAAGTATTTGGGGGGGTGCATTTATTCTATTGGCATACCATGAGACTGAGAACCTGTATGCCTTGGCGCCATACTCTTTTAAAAGACTGATGTCTTCGCTGGTGCGGTTGTAAGAGTCACACGCATGGCGCCCAGTTGTGCCATCCGCTATTTTCCCAGGGATGTCACAAAAGCTGTCCCATATGGAAGGGCTTCTACCTTCTCCGCTGACAGCTCCCTCAATCTGATAACTGGCCGTTCCAAACCCCCAGATGAAATCTTTGGGAAGGGTCATCATTCCTTGTGTCTTGGCAGAAAAAAATAAAAACAGAGAAAAGAAGGGAGCAAGAAAGAAAAGAATAGAAACTTTCGTCGCTTCTTGTAAGGTCTCTCTTTATAGAGTACCTAGGTGGCCAACGTGGAGGGGCTCCGGTGGAGGCTATTACCGCATATGCTAGTGAGTCTGATTATAGCAGCTCAAGTGGAACAATAGTCACCTACATTTCCAGCTCGACTCTATAGAACCTATGTAACTACGTTATGTATGAAAGGAACCCATATTGACTCCTTAAAATATTGGCATTATTATACCGCGGTTCACACTGCCTTGCGAAATCATGGTTTTATAGCACTCTACATATGTTGAATGTATATTCCCATCCCAAATACCATCTCTTCTCCCGGGCTACTAAGAAGGTGAAGTCAACGGAAGTGAATGCAGCCCCTGTCCCTCCCACGCCTCAATCGCAATTTCAAACAGCCGGAAATACCGCGACCCGCGCGGCATGGTGTTCCAACACTCTGGTACGCGACTCAAATCCATTGGGATCTTGGCCGCTGATGCACTCGCCTTTAGCATCGACGGGTCTGAACCTGTATTGAATGGGTAGTCGCAGACTTCCTGCACATCAGCTAAAGCCTGAATATGGGGATTACAGTGGCTGCTCCTGAGCGCCGGGCCGAATACCGGCTGTGCTGTTTCAAGGGCGCGGAACATAGGCGATGCTGCCACCATGCATATACGTGTCTAATCGATATAACCAAAGTTGAGAAGGGCGATGCATTGAGCCCGCCCTCTTGGGGTGAGTTTGGGCCGAGGAGGGTGTGGTCTTCGGGCTCGAGATTGTGCTCGCCTTTGGCGTGGCGGATGCAGTGAACTGTGATGGGCATTCTGGCTGTCTTGGGGGTCGAGGAGAGGAGAGGGGATGTTTTTCTGGGAATGGGGATTAGTTTTGAGGTTGGCTTTACAAAAATAGGGAAAAAAAAAAAAAAGAAGAAGAAGAAGAAGAAGAAGAAGAAAAGGAAATCATACTATGTCCATTGCCTAAAGAGGGAATCAGTTCCGGTGGAGCGATCGCGGATATACGAGCTTTGTTGGGGGGGTCGGTCTCCGGTGGAGGGTTTGCAATTAAGGCTTTCGTTAAGATGAGGTAGGTTTTACATTTAACTGGAAGGACCAGAACGTTCGATCTGAAGGAGTTGTCTTATTCTTAATCTATTAATCTACTTGATTCCTATGGTGTATTATATATTGCTCGAGCAGGTGCCTCAATACACAGAGCAATGAGCAAAGCAACAACCACTTTTTGCCGCATGTCATCTTCCGCCTGGTCTAGAACTTAGTCAACGGTTCTGTAGTACATACACTGGACTAGATACGTATAGCAGCTGGCTTTAATGGCTCGTCCCATCAAACCGAAGTTTGTCATCACTGTGCAGATCTCCGTAACCCAATCCGTAGATTTCTAGGGTTTGCGATCGCAGTATTTCATTCGACAATGTCCACCACAGATGATTGGTTCACTGTCAGCAGGAGCATTAGTGCGGTTGGTAATTCCTTTTATTTCCACTGTGTTCAAGAATGGCATATATAAAAGGGTGATTCTCTCCACTTGAGATTCTCTGAGCTAGGGTATCATACTTCTGACTTTATCTACTCTCGTCTAATTCTCTCTAATTGATATTACTATGTCTATTTATGCCCCTGCACCAAAGCCCACAAGCTTGCTGGGGTACCACCCGCGGATATAAAGGCCCCGCCCCTATGCCTCGGAACAAATGAACTTTGGAACTATCTGATATGGCTATCTAATTTGTATAATGATATCTGGAGCTTAACAGTAATTTTCTGATATAGACAGAATTTTATAGGCAAATATAGCAAGGAGCAGTTATTTATACTGCTTAATATCTTTTATAAACTGGGCGGTAATTTCCTGGATACATAGGTTTAATCAATACTATTTAATATAGGCTCTTTGTCACGGAGCCGATGGGGAATCGGCCCGTGAAGCCTGCAGAACCCTCGGGCCCCTATATCCTGGTTCATCGTGCATAGGCCCTGGTCGCGGTCCTTCCTACATAAGACCTCGGACCCCCTACGGTTTAGAATCGTTGGAGGAGAGATTACCTGACCTTTCACCGACTCTTCAGCGGGAAAGACCTGCCGAATAGAGAAGGATCCTAAAGCTATTTAAGGAGGTCTAAAGACATAGATAGAGGAGACAAGAATCAATCTCTTTGTATTCGTTCTACTACGCAGTTAATAATAGATATTTCTTCTTCTCTCCGCCTACATTTCCTTACCTAGTTGACAGGCTATCTACCCTGTATAGTAGATCATCCGTTACAATAAGCCTGTCCAATAATGACTGGTAGCTGCATGATCGTTTTCTTGTTTCAGCAATAGGCTACCAACTGAAAACTAGCTCTCTTGTGTAGGGCACACTTCTCATAGTATCTAGCTTAGCGAGATAGTTGATTCTAATATGGAAATGTATAAGTCTTGAAATAATTTGGATAGTATT